CATCTAATCTGCTCAGGTATGAGTTCAACCTGCTGCAGTAGCCAGAGCGAAGTTGGGCTATCGTGGTCCGAGTCTCCCGAGGCAGACGAAGCTCCGTCTCTTCTACGTCAGGTAGTTGTGTGCCCAGACGGCATTCGCAGGTCTCGAGTTTACGTAACTTGAGACTGACTCCCTGTGAATGCCGCTCAGGGCTTGCCCATATGCTGACGGCTCCAGAGGTTGCTTTGTGAACCTCTGGACTTCGTCCATCAGACGGCCGCTGTAATGTAGCGGTTAGCAGTGCGCGCCAACATTCCGCAGGCCTGGGTTCAAGCCCGGTCCAACGCAACATAAAAAACAAACGAAAAAGTTTTTTCCTAATCGCCGTTCGGAGTCGGCGTAAAACTGTAGTTCCCTCCCCTTGTTTGATAACATCAATGCGCTCCCACAAATCAGAGGAGAAGCCCGGCCAAACACTAACAAATGTATAAGCACCAATTCCATTATTACTATAGTCGCAAAGAATTTCCAAATTTGTTTACTTTGGAAATGAATTATCTCTGCGAACCACCTTCCGCAGTGAACTCAAAAAGAGTGTTTAGTGCATCGGGTAGCATTTAGGTTGAAAATAGAAATGGGTTCTTGACCGACAATGCGGAAATGCTTCTTTCCATAAAGAAAAATATATAAATTTTTAACTCTATTACTAATTAGATACTATTAAATTTGATTATAAAAATATAAAAAAAAATCTAAACTAGATTTTTAAATAAGATCTGCTTCATTTGGAATTTGGCAGCACTATACATAGCATAACTTTGTTATCGACTACTCGATCAGCCGTATATTTAGTGCGCTGATTTTGCTATCGTTGTTTTTTATTACACTTAATTTTCATATGCGTAACTTTAAAAATAAATGATGTGGAGAGCAAAGAACTTCAGCAAAGAAAATTGATTTTGGACTCCACACATCTCCCAATGTCGGTTAGTAAAATTGCTGAAAATTGGAAGGTCGACGGTACAAAATGTATTGTTAAATATCAAGAAAAAATGCAGCATTGAGAGAAAGGCGGAAAATCAGGCACTTATAAATAAGATAGTGGAGAAGGATGTTCCAAGGACTTTGAAAAGGAATCCGAATCTCTCTGAACGTGTTGTTGCACCTGGAGTATTGTTCTGAGAGCCTGTATTGTTTTGACCTGATTTGGGTACAGGCCGTTGTGCAAAAAAGCGCAAGAGTTTTATACACAAAATGGAATCAACATTGTACTAAAAGAGGCCGATCCTCCGAATTGTACAGAGCTCCAAACAATCGAGCGTTATTGGGCCTATATGAAATCAAAATTAAAAGTAAACCAAATGCACACCTTTAAGAATAACGCAGTTCCGCAGAATGTGGCGAAAACAGGCTCAATCGATCAACGAAAGGGATGTCCAAGTATTAATGGCGGGTGTCATCTCTAAAGTACGGGTATTTTGGCGTGGAAATTAATTCTAATAATATTTGTAAATCTTTCATCTAAATAGAAATAAAAGAAGGTTATAAAAAAGTTTGGACTGAATTTTTCATATTTAAATTAGTTTTTTTGTTACTTAGTTCCTGCCAGATTTCAACTGAAGCAGATCTTTGAATCTTCTATAATCAAAATCCGGAAATCCGGCCGGATACTGGCCAGTATAGTCGGATATCAGAAAAAAGGCCGGCTAAGCCGGATTCCGGATATCTACCGGATACCCGGCACACCCCTAATGTTGAGTTCCCTGAGGCTGTATGCTGGTTTAATTCCAGTACTGTACCCGGACTCACACATTGTGGAATCGTCACTGATGGCTACAAAACTGATTCTGGGTCAGGATCTGGAGTGTTTTTCTACGTTAAATTGGATAAGCTTCCATCTTCCAGGCTGAGGTATTCGCAAACCTCAAAGCCATGGACTAAGTGGTGGAAAATAGGTGGAGGAGTTTACGTGTCTGCAGTGACAGCCAAGCTGCCCTGAATACATTGGCCAGCCCTCTATCTAAGTACTTCCAAACGAGTTCGGCAATGCAAGTCTCGACTAAATTATGTTGGTAAACATAACGATCTTGCTTTACTCTGGGTGCCAGGCCATTACCTGGTAATGAGACATCTGATCATTTGGCCACAATTGGTTTAGACCAGGCATTCCACGATCCGCAACCAGTTACAGCACTCCCGACTTTGGGCTTCGACGTCCCCATCAGAAACTGGGCGAATACATCGCAAAGCAATGACTGGGAGGCATCGAGGGAATCTCAGAAGATATATCTCGTTTTTTGCTCTCACTGAGTAGGCGTGGACCGTAGACAACTTGTTGGACTGCTTTTTCTCTCTCTTTTTTCTATTGTCAGTTTCTAAATTTAGAGTTTGGCGTAAAAAGTTTTGCGGTTTTGTTGTTTCAAGTTTTGTGCAAGGCGAATTAATATAAGGTGATAGCAGTAGTACGAAAACAAAAATGTACATGTAATTTGTTTTTGCTTTGGCGGCATAAACTGTCAAAATCTATAAGAGTGTGTGCGGAAATGCAAACAAAATTTTTCAATTTGACATTCGAAGCCGTGAGGCGAAAAACATACACCAAATAAGCTAATCTAGTATCTAACACCACCTTATTTAAATTAGCCTTGGTTTTGTGTTCTGAAAATACGAGTGATAAATATTTTTCTCATCACCTTAAAGCAGGAGTCACACGATTTGTACATTTGTACCGATCTGTACATTTTGGCAGCCACAGAGTGGTGCTGTTTAGAAATTTTAGTTCACCCCAATAAAATAAATTCCAGACAACACCAATCTGTAACTTCCAAAATGTAGAAATCATGTGATCTCTGCTTAAAACTCGGAGCGATATAAATGAAAAAGGTGCCCTCAACACAAATAAACTATTTTACAAATACGCCACATACAAATTTATGAGTGAGCCGAACATGTGAGGAGTTTATGGTGAAGATAGTGTAAATAACGCTAGCGCTCGGAATGCTCTTAAAAAATATAACTCCTTAGAAGGAGAGAGTACTTTAATAACTTTACGAGCTCTGTTTCTAAAACTTGGAAGTGTGTAATCACCAGGGAACGGATTTTATGGAAATTGCCTTTTTTTCTGCTAAAGAGATATGAGTATATTCGGTTAAGAATGTCCACGATTTAGCTTTCCCTGATTCCATATATACACATTTGATTTTGCCTTTTTTTGCCTTTTTTAAGATATTTGCCCTTTCTTGCCTTTTCTACCTTTAAAAAATCGATTATAGCATTTACAATTTTTTTTAAGATAAAAAAATATACACATGCCCATGGGGCTTATAGAAGCGCAGGGACCTCTTGCCAAATTGGTGTTGGAAAAATTCAAAGCCGTTTTCTCAGCTAACGTAGGCTTGGAGACAATAAGGGGTGTGGATAAAATTGTAAAGGGCGCGGAAAACGCCCTTATTCCTGATAATATGAACGTTTCAAACGTTCCATATTTAAATTGGGCTCCACTTCTATCAACTTACGTCGAGTGCACATTTAGTACATTCAAGGCTTTTCTTCGCGAAAATCGAATGAAAATGCTGCCAGAAAACTTCAAAATGCATCTTGTGGTTCAATGTTACTACAACTATACAGATTAATGGCCTTATTCATAAAAAATAAAAGAGCTTTAAAAAAGGTTTATAAACTGAAAAATGTATGAAAATGTCATTTTATAAAGCCCTTTAAACCTACTTTATTTTTTATGAATAAGGCCATAAAGTTTTATTAATTAGAAACTCGAAAGGAAAAAATAGTCAAAGATTCAAAGTACAAGTTTTTCATATAATGAAACTAGTTCATAGGTTTTCTCTTTTTACTTGTAATATAAACCTTTCTAAAATAAATGCATTTTTTGATTGTTCTTCGTATTTTCTGTCTTTTTTAGTGCCTTGTTTTTCCTTTTTTTTGCAATACCTAGTGCTTTTTCTTCCAAAAAAGGAGGAGGTTGTTATCAGTTCGTCGGAATATTTTTTTTTTGTTTTTTTTTATGTATGTTACCGCATAACTTTGGACCACGTCAACCAATAATTCTTTTTGTAATGGAAAGGTAGTGTCTCAGAGGTGGTCCCATACTAATTTGGTTTAGATCCGATCATTGAATCATGAAATATATGTATATATATACATTTTTTTTTTAAGTCGGTTTTTTTTGCTAAAAATTACTTGTATTTTGCCTTTTTTGCCCTTTTGCAATACCTAGTGCCTTTTCCTGCCTTTTTCGCTATTTTATTTTGCCTTTTCCACCCTATTTCGTTATTTTATTTTGCCTTTTTTATAGGTTTTTAGGTCCTAAAAATCCGTTCCCTGGTAATCACATTATTTTAATAAATAGAGCACATGAAAATATTTTATTTTTATTTTTACCACTCCGAATTTAGTTTTGGAACTCACTCGCGATGCAAATTAAAATCGTTGGATACAATCTTCATATTTTTTGACGAGCTTTGGGAATACATATGTTAGAAATGTTGCAGCAGGGGGTACACCGAAACCAGTAAAGTTTTGAAAGTAGTCTACGAGAGAAAAAAAGTTTGGGAACCTCTAATTTAGTCTTTCTGCATTACCTGCATACAAATAAAACTTTTAAAAGGAAAACAACGAGGATTATTTTCGTTTTGTCCAATTAACCAATTTTTGTACTACTCTTTCTAGATTCCTTGAAGTATTTACGAAACTAGTGAACTACCCGGAATTAGAGTACTTTAGGAACTAGTTTTCTACCGACCAAAACTTAGCTTTTTTGGTAACAAGTGGTAATTTTGGAATATTGCGCATGCATTTGCCTTTAGTTCCAAATATACAAAGTATTACCAGAAAAGTTTTCGCTTATGTATTTGTTGTTGTGTTTTTTTTTTTAATTTTCAAATCAATTCTTGTCCAATATAAAATTCTTGTCCAAGATGCATACATATGTACATATGTATGAGATCACATATGCACTTTTTTAATAATTTATGTATTTACATATTTTAATTTTTTAATTTTAGGTTTGACGTTTAAGATTTTCTAAACTTTTAAAGGATCAGTCGCAAATTACTGCATTTACTGCCTCGGTTCCACCCAAATATACATACATAGTACTACTTATACATACATTAATACAGACTTCGATACAACAGAGGCTAGTGCATCATTACAGCACGCCATGGATGCGTCCAGTAATAATATGAAAGTAAGCAATTGGGAAAAATTCAAATTGTTGTTGTGGAAAAACTGGAATCTACAATGGAACCACAAAATCGAACTAGGCGTGGAACTATTGCTGCCAGCGGTCTTCTCTCTGCTGTTGGTATTGGTGCGGGTGTTGGTGGAGGTGGACTCGATGGATATTACCACTTATCCACCATTAAATATCTCGAATTTGGACTTGTTCAAGTAAGCACTTAATAAAATATAATGAATGGAAGTTTTTGAGTGTATGTAAACGCATACATATGTGTATGTACCTTAGGTTAATCCACAGGAAAATCATATTTTAGGAATTTTCCTTCTCCCACCATCCAGAATTGTATAAAACGGTAAGAACAGAAAACCGTATTTTTTACATTTGGAAATCGTTTAATATTTAAGGGTGATGCCGGGCTTCGAAGTTTTCCGTGTATTTTACATGGGAAAATAATTTTTTTTCGTAGAATTGCTATAAAATCGTTAAAAGTAAATATTTTTTGATTTATTTTGGAACGAATTTGCGTCATCCCTTATTTAAAAAAATAGGGACTTGGAAAGCGGTTTAAAAATTGGTTAAAAATAATAAAAACAATTAATTTTTTTGTTGCATAATTTGCCGTTTGGCTTGTTTGTTTGTTAAAAATAATAAAAACAATTATTTTTTTTGTTGCATAATTTGCCGTTTGGCTTGTTTTGTGCATTAAAACTGTTTTTGATTTTGTCGTTTAATTGTTTTTTGTTTAAACAGCCTTATTTAAAAAAAAAAGTAGGGACTTGGAAAGCGGTTTAAAAATTGGTTAAAAATAATAAAAACAATTAATTTTTTTTTGCATAATTTGCCGTTTGGCTTGTTTTGTGCATTAAAACTGTTTTTGATTTTTTCGTTTAATTGTTTTTTGTTTAAAAAGCCTTATTTAAAAAAAAAATAGGGACCTGGAAAGCGGTTTAAAAATCGGTTTAAAATAATAAAAACAACTAATTTTTTTGTTGCATAATTTGCCGTTTGGCTTGTTTTGTGCTTTAAAACTATTTTTGATTTTGTCGTTTAATTGTTTTTTGTTTAAACAGCCTTATTTAAAAAAAAAATAGGGACTTGGAAAGCGGTTTAAAAATTGGTTAAAAATAATAAAAACAATTAATTTTTTTGTTGCATAATTTGCCATTTGGCTTGCTTTGTGCATTAAAACTGGTTTTGATTTTTTCGTGTAATTGGTTTTTATTTAAACAGCCTTATTTAAAAAAAAATTGGGACTTGGAAAGCGGTTTAAAAATTGGTTAAAAATAATAAAAATAATTTATTTTTTGTTTTTAAATTTGCTGTTGGGCTTGTTTTGTGCATTAAAACTGTTTTTGATTTTGTCGTTTAATGGCTTTTTGTTGAAACAGCCTTATTAAAAAAAAAAATAGGGACTTGGAAAGCGGTTTAAAAATTGGTTAAAAATAATAAAAATAATTAATTTTTTTGTTGCATAATTTGTCGTTTGAATTGTTTTGTGCATTAAAACTGTTTTTGATTTTGTCGTTTGATTGTGATAAGAAAGCTTCTTAATTTTTTGAATTTTAACCATGGCGATTGTTGTTTGTTTAAATTTCAAAGTGGTACATAAAGAAACCGGGTTTGCTTTTCTATTATATTATTATCCTTTTCTTCTAAAAATTATTGAACATTGAAAAAAAAAAAACAATTTTCTTCAAAAATGTTATAAATATTTTTACTAAACCATTATTAGAATAACATCTTTTACTGCAAAATTGGCCCAACAACAGCAACTTTTCCGAAATGTCCACAATTAAATATGTATATGGTCAAAATTTTTCTCTTTAACGTTACAGTCGCACGTATATTTCTGTTTATATTTCTGAAACGTTGAGTAAAAACCGAAAGTTTTTCATATACTCTGATAACGATCCCCAAAAGCTACATTTTATATACAGATATTTGATCCTATCTTTTGTTGCTTTAAAGATAAATGTGTTTTTTGGAAGTCAATTTTGGAGTAACATCACTCGTAAGGAAAACATGGCGAATCCTGCAAAGTTAAAAATTAAACTAAAGTATTTTAATAAAGATCAAGGTCCAAAGAAACTATAAAAATATTAACTTTTGAATAGTACACGTTTATAACAAACCTATAAACCGAAATATGTAGTCTTTAACGTTACTTACCATACTTGACTATATTTTCCCTCCATTTTGATCGCATGTGAGGCACAAGAGAAATGAACGTTTCTAGATGCCTTAAGATGTATATCAAAAAAATATATCAAGAGTTGACGGGTTAGTTGAAGAAATATTTTCCAAAATGTTTACCATATACATAAATATGCACATACATATGTATGTACATATGTACATATGTAGGTGTATGTAAGCATACAAATTTGGGATTTTGAAATTATAAAACTAGGAGCAAAAATGTTTTAAGTTTTCGATAAGAGAAATTAGCAATATAATTATTATTTTATTTTAGAGGCTATTTCTAAGAGGTGCATGATTGTTATTTAAATTGAAGTAGAATAAATAAAAATCTAATGTTCTGGAAAATAAATACCGTAAATATAAAATTTCGGCTACTAGTAAAATCTGCCAGTTTGTGAGCGGAACTTAGTACAGAGGAGTCGCATTTTCGCAAGTGTGACCACAAGACCGACTCCTAATTAATAGACAAATTTTTATAAAGCGCAAGCACATGTGTGTGAGCCGATTTGTAATATATTATATATTTTTAAAAGAAACTTTTTTATAAAACGTTGTTTTTTATAACACAATTCAATGAAAAGTAATATGTTGTTTGTTTTTTATATGACAGAAAACATATTCAAAGGTTATTTTAAGCAAGGCGAATTAATATAAGGTGATAGCAGGAGTACAAAAACAAAAATTTACATGTATTTTGTTTTTGCTTTGGCGGCATAAACTGTCAAAATCTGTAAGAGTCTGTGTAGAAATTCAAACAAAATTATTCAATTTGATATCAGAAGCCATGCGGCGAAACACATCCACAAAATCAGCTGAGCTAGTAATACCACCTTATATAAATTCGCCTTCATTACAACGCTTTTATCAACTTGCAATGTTGTGTGTCCAGAAACTTTCAATGTTGTGGATCCAGAAACTTTCAATGTTGTGGATCCAGAAACTTTCAATGTTGTGTGTCCGACACCATAAAAGCTTTGCTTTGAAAAGTTCATATAAAAAAGCATAGTGCATAGGGCGACATCTGTAGTGAATAGGGCGAGGTAGATGACATCTAGATGTCGCCCTATGTACTACGTTTGCTACAGCGGAAATAGACGACACGGCATTTCTTTAAATAAAATTGGTGCTCGTTTGTATGTACATACATATGTAAATGCATGTGTGTGCACCTTTCTATTAATATCGTTGAATTATTTTAATATCTATTGCAAAATTTTATTCAGACAGGACTAAAAAGTAGAAAATAAATAATATAAAAAAAACTTTTTAATATACAACGCTTTTATAAATGGACTAAAAAGTAGAAAATAATATTTCTCAGTCCCATAGAATTTGTTTTGATAACTTTTGATTTTGAAATTTTGGCAAAAGTCATTATAAACAATCTATGAAATTGAAAATGAAAAACGTGGAGCGCATGCAATACAAAGCATTCGATTTAATTGACAATAGTCAAACTACATAACGTAGACCTAAAATTTCTACAGCGAAAGTAGAGCTTTGAAATCGATTTTAAGCGGTCGTTATTCATATACCCACATACATACATACATATATTACTTTTCATATCAATTCAAGTGTATTACATGCGCCCCACGCTTTTCATTTTCAATTTCATAGATTGTTTATAATGACTTTTGCTAAAATTTCAAAATAAAAAGTTATCAAAACAAATTCTATGGGACTGAGAAATATTATTTTCTACTTTTTAGTCCATTTATATGTTGGAGAAGATAATAAGAGCTGCAGAACTGAACCGCTCAGGAACAATTTACTACAAGAGCGTGCAATTGCTGGCTTAAGCCGACGACATCGACATCATCGGTAACAAAAACCGCGAAGTCTGTTCTGCCTTTTCCAAGTTGGATAGGGAAGCAAAGCGCATGGGTCTGGTGGTAAACGAGGACAAGACGAAGTATCTCCTGTCATCAAACAAACAGTCAGCACATTCGCGCCTTGGCACCCACGTCACTGTTGACAGTTACAATTTCGAGAAAGTAGAGAATTTCGTTTACTTGGGAACCAGCATTAACACCGATAATAATGTCAGCATTGAAATCCAACGTAGAATCACTCTTGCCAACAAGTGCTACTTTGGACTGAGTAGGCAATTCCTCTCTCGACGTACGAAAACCACGCTCTATAAGTCACTCATCATGCCCGTGCTAGTATATGGCGCAGAAGCATGGACAATGACAACATCCGATGAGGCGGCTCTTGGGGTGTTTGAGAGAAAGATTTTGCGGAAGATTTACGGTCCTTTACGCGTTGGCGACGGCGAGTACCGCAGACGATGGCACGATGAGCTGTATGAGCTTTACAACGATATGGACATAGTGCAGCGAATTAAAATACAGCGGCTCCGCTGGCTTGGTCATGTCGTTCGAATGGACACCGACGCTCCAGCTCTGAAAGTATTCAACTCGGAACCCGCTGGTGGTAGCAGAGGAAGAGGGAGGCCCCCACTGCGATGGAAAGATCAGGTGGAGAAGGACTTGGCTTCACTTGGCGTTTCCAATTGGCGTCAGTTGGCACAGAGGAGAAACGACTGGCGTGCTTTGCTGAACTCGGCCAAAATAGCTTAGGCGGTTACAGCGCCAAAAAAGAAGAAGAAGAAGTCATTTATAAAAGCTTTGTATATTAAAAAGTTTTTTTTATATTATTTATTTTAAGATTTGAGTTACAATTCGAAGTGTTTGTTTTCTCTACGCAAAGCATACACATGAAGCACATCATATAAATACCCAACAAGCAAAATAAACTTAAAGAAAGTTTTTTCGAAGTTTTCAATTATAAACATTAAGCTTACAAAACGTTGATTTTTTGTTTATAAAACGCTTGAAAGTAAGCGTAATATAATCGAAAAGGAACATTGG